ACAAAAAACATTTTGAAATTTAAAAGTATGAGTCACCGTGAACGACTCAGGAGGGAGTTTCGAAAGCTCAAGGGAATCGATAAAATAATAAGTTTGACCCGGAAACAAAGAAGACTCTGTTACTGAATGTGTCGTGAGAATATATGTATATTAGAATGAAAAAAATATTGTTTTTAAATATTGAAAGTTAGACAGCCTATAACACAGTAATCAGTTTGTATGTTTCTTGGAAACAATTATATATTAATAACATGTAATTTTTATGTCACATTAACTTTAACTATTTTATTTTGTTCATGTTTGTGAATACAAATTATATTTTATTAATGTGTAATAACATTTCTTATTGTTCCTACATTACAAACTTCTGAGAACATGAAATGGTTTTCGTCCGCTAATATTAAGAAAGATAATATTCAAATTTGTTGAAAACTTCAAGTTACACAAGTTTATAATTTATTCAACAATTCACAAGATCAATACAAGTGTTCCTTCAGACTTGTGAAGATAATATTAAAAACATTATTATTGTTATATTATGAACATGTTTATGAGTACGTAAGTTTTTAATATGACATTTGTCCCTATACACCCCACACGGTCACCGTATTTCTTTTGACACATTTACATTTACGAAAATAAATATGAAAACTGAAATATATTTTAATTAGAACAGACTTCATGCTTTAAAAGTAATGTTTATGAGATAAAAAGAAATAATTACAGTCGTGAGGATCACTTATAGATTAATTAGATAAAAGAAAAAAGTACTTATATTCTTACTAGCTTTCCAACCGCAGCTTCACCCGCGTGAAGTTCGGTTATATCGCGTTTCTAAGAGAACTTTTCAAAAGCCTGGGATAAAAACATACCTATGTTCTTTCTCGAGGTCAACTCTATGTCTGTACCAAATTTCATTAAAATCAGTTCAGTTTTTTAGGCTTGGAAGCGTAACAGACAGACAGAGTTACTTGCTCTGTTATAATATTAGTAGGGATTTTAGTAATAAGTTACGAGGAACCTTTTCAAAGACGAAAGTACCTATGTGGTAGAAAAAAATTTAAGATTATGCGATTTACGGTATTAAATATTAATAATTAGATAATTGTATGAATGAAATGATAATGTTACTAAAAATAGATAAGATTTGTGAACAAAAGAGCGTAGCATGACCTGATTCATATTAAATTCTATATTCACATAGTAGACGCTTGTTAAAAAATGGACAAATTGATTTAAATCACTGGGACTAATAACCGAATACAGAGGAAGACATTAGACGTGGAAGACTTAGTAGAAACATGAGCAGTATAATCGTATCCCTACCACATGGATAGTGGTAATACGACATGCGATAGATAGATAAAAAGTTCATTTAAAACTGACATTAAAACTAAAAGTATTAATTAAAAGATAATTAATATTATACACTACTTTTTACGTCTTTCTTAAAAAAATAATCCTCTATTCTTGTAAATATTTGTCAGCCATATTATTTTATGTTTATCATAATCGCTATTTCACAAATTGTAGTATCATTTACATATCATTCGCGTTCTGTACTTTTAGTTTAATACACATCATCAGACTTCACACGTCGCGTTTCATGTTTCTCGAAGATTTATAAACGTAAACTATGAACGTCGCGTCTGCAGTGTGGAGATTGAAACTCTTAGTAAACATCTCAACGTTACTCTACTCTACACTGAAATATTATATGAATGAAGCTCCGCAGTGGAATAATTTGAAAACGTGATTTGGCATCACTTTATAATATAATATATTATAATGAATGTTGTTTTAAATATTATTATCAAAGATAGTGTTTTGATGGAACAAAATAGATATTGTTAAAAATGTATTAGTTTATTAAAAGCAATAAGGTCTTGTAGAAATTAGAATTTTTATACCAAAAATTAATTTTAAATTATTATTAAAAATATTTTAAAACATAAACACAGTAAATAAAAAACAAATTTAATTTCAATTTCACGAAAACTATTATAGTTTCATAAACTTTAAATTTCTAATTTCATTTGTAGATATATTGATAGTATACTATTTTGTTATTTTTCCGTATATCATAAAAATACGTTCCCTTCTTCACGGACCTATAATTGTAACAGTATTTTTATTAGTCACTTTACAACCAATTGTTTTATTTAGTTCAACATCATTCTACTAAGTCAATGTTACCAATAAAGCCTGGGAAAGTCTCCTCCGAGTACTGTTGGTCCGCAATTAGTACGTGAACTAGTTTTTGCAAACGATGACTCATGTTGGAGACGTTGGTGACTCACGACAAGCTTGGAACAAACATTGGAGCCAATATTGGTGATAGGGTTGGACACCAGAAGAATATTGGAGTAAATTAAGTTAGGATTATATAAAATGATAGACAGGGGAAAGGAAGTACGGGGAGAGAGTTAGTATCCAGGGAATAGAAGCCAGGGTCAGACAGGTGTAATGATGGTGAAACTTTTTAAAATAAATTTAAAAACTTTAATTGCTATTTCGATTATTCTTTCGACATGTATTTTCAGTTTATAGAGTAGCCATTAATGTCCAACATTGGAAGAAGGATCGATAACTTGAAGGACGAAACGAAGACTCTCAGAAAATAAGTTCCAGTGACGATGAAGTATCGTATGTACTTTGTTTGATAAAAAGAGTTTTAGGAAACACATTTGTTAGAGCAGTAAAGTGAGTCGATGCAAATTACTAATTAGACAGTTCACATAATGAGATCTAAGACTTTCGCGAGTATTCATTTAAATGAAACTTTTCCGTATTACCACGCGTACTTTATTTTTGTAAAAACTTCATACTCCCGACGTTTCGGTTATTTTTTAGCAATCGTGATCACGGGCACATCTTGTCTCCGTAACCGAAACGCTTGAAGTATGTCATTTAAAATAATTAAGTATAAACGCGTAGTTATGCCAATAATATTAGTTTCATTTAAGTGTAGACAGTGTTCAGCCATATTAATACATCTTCAACGTATCAAAACAATTCATCACAGCTCCTGTTCTAGTGTTTATAAATGTCCAACTACTTTTTATTTATTTAATCCCAAAGAATTCAAACAGACAAAGAGAGTATTATGAACAGTTACGTTTGACCGCAGACCTGGTCGATGAGGAGACTTGGTATGTATTTACTGTAAACGTGGCTCTGATCAAAGATACTATAGAATAGAATAGAATTGATAGAAGACTTCTAGATAATACAACCTAGAAGTCAAGCGTTTAATTCATAGCTTTAGTCTTTGTAATCTTTAATGGTCTATTCTCATACACTCATCTAATTTATAGTTCAACTCCAGCGTCATCATAAGTCTTCTATATAAAGTCTATCTTTCTATGATTCCTTTACGTCACACTAAAGTAAAGCTTTTATTTCTGATACTCTATCTTCAGATTTTTCTCACAATGACGTGATGTCATATATAAAGGACGTTAATGCTGATAATATTCACTTTATACTAATTTTGAGTATTAAAACTAAACTTTAATTAAATTTATTTAACACAATCACGCTTAGAAACTATGACTACTGTGATACCCATCCCAGTCTTTACCGAGTCGAGTCTATATAAATGTAGCGCCATCTATTAGCATTTTATAGTAAACTTATTTAACACGACAAGAAACAAAATGATTGTAATATACTTTTTTCTTGTATTAATTCTTATTATATATGACAACTGATAGGTCATGACACAAGAATGTTTATAGAACAAACTCATCTTATATTAATTTGATCTCACAATCAGTCGTGTTATTTACTAAAATCAACTTACGTGATGAATATTATACGAGTCTAGCTATTCATTGGAAATAACCGGTCAGGGACATACATATGTATATATATCTTTGTATATACATTCATTATTTTCTCTGTGATAATATTTTTGCAACATCACAACCTAAAACTAGTTTAACCGCTGTCGTGTAAAGTGAAAACAAACATAATGTAATTAAACTTGTTTTATATTACAATTTACAGTGAAGGTGAGACAGATAATTCTTGTTGAATAATTGAAGACGAATTAAAGTGATAATACACTCAAATATTATTAAAATAATCTTTCTACATTAACTATTAGTATATGAACGTAGTATTTATTAAAATTTCATTGACATTTTCACAAACTGGCGTCTCACGACTTCCAACTTAATAAGGTCACAAATAAAGATTCTTATTATGAATAAAAATGATATTCTTTCACCAGAAAACATATTATTTTAATGAAAATACTATAATGTAGTACACAGAACTAAATTACACAAATCATATATTCTAAAAGGTTTTTATTTTAGACAATTTGTAATGCTATAGTAACCCACGCCACGCGGACGAAGACGCGGGAAAAGTGTAGCATCAATGAATGAATTAGTTTATATTAAATGATGTGCTACTTTTGTTTTCAATCACACAGAGATTAAAATGGAAACGGACTTGGAACCAGCGCCGAGAAAGGAGTTAGGACTGACAGAACCAAGAGGACCAGACCGGCTTTGAAATAATACTATGAAAGTTGACCGGCGGTGTTGACACCTATATTATATGTGACTTGGCTTGATTTAGGGTAATATATTATATCTTCAATACATAAGGATGATAGTTAATTCAGTATATAATATATCATGTAATGTTTGTTTGATATTGTGAATGAGACAGTTAAATATTTTACTATGTAGCATATCCTTTAATTTTATATAAATGAGTAAAATTCTTTTGTTCATTATATTTTAAGTATTATGCATTCACACATTTGAGATCAATTTTTAAGTTCTCTTTTTTTAAATATAAAATAAAGAACAGCGTCAAGAATTAAACTACCAATAAACAATATATTAATATCTCACAACTCAGTATAAGATAATTTATATCAAAACCACTTATAATACTAGATTATTAGCAAGAAATAAAAACTTATTTTGATGTTGTCTATATATTTATTATTATGTGGTAAATAATTAATATCTTTTGTATTAGAGTTGGGGTAATCCATTCTGAGATATAGCAACACCGTGTACCGTACTAGTTGTTTCCCAGCGCGGCAGTAGTCCGTGAGCGCTGGTTGTGTGTGTTCGTGTCGCTGGGACGTTCCTGCCGTGACTACTTTTACGAGATCTTTTAAAACCGGTTTCGAAAGTGCTTAGGTGTGGCGTAGGCGGTCGGAGCCGCGTTCGACCGTTAAACATACTTTTCAAAGTTCAAAAACAGCTTGTGATTGTAAAAGTGCATCACTGATACGCCGGCTTATCAAGGTATTGTGATATTTTTTATCTTTTTGCGTGTTTTATCATGAGTGCTCCACACGGCGGCGGGTCGCGGCCGCGTCGTGTTGTTCTTGGTTCCTCTTAACCATAAAACAAAGAAACTTTTGATATTTATCAACATACCGTCTTCATCCTCACAACGGACCCCGTTCACTCTCGTGTTAGTCATAGCTCGGTATTCGTGAATGATTTACGATTTGTCACGTAATTGGCGATTATTTCAAGTTATTTTTTATTTTAAACTCTTTAACAAACTAGTTTTTTCTCGGTGCTGTGACTTATTCGTTAATCGTATGCGTGAAACATGTCGGCTCGGAAACGTTTGAGCAAAATATATTCAAATGAGTCTCTTGACGCCATTCACCATTAGAAAAGAAGGTAATTACGATCGAATCGTGGAGAATTTGAATAATAACCGCTCGCAGCTCAAAAAATTAACTCGTAGAGGTAAGCTCGATGGGTCAGTGTGTTTTTTTTGTTACCTCTAGGATAGTCAGGTAGGTGGAACCAGTTTCGGGTGAATTGTTACTTTGACTCCAGCCCGGGAACACAATCATCTAATTTATGCCTTCATATAAAGAAACAAAAAACGATTCAAGTCCGGGCTCGCGTTGTGTTCCTTTTAAGAGAAAGTTTTAGATTTGAGTTGTGAATTAAAATGTAAGTTTCATTTCTGTATAAGTATAGTTAGTAAGTTGTGAGTCATCTTTAAGGTATGTCTGTCTCAATGCACTTATTCTTTATGCCGAGTACAACCGAACTTCCTGTTCAATATATAATACTTATATTAATATGTTTCTATGTAAATTCTTTTTATTACGACTTGTTAAAATAACAGGTTGAAAGACGGTTTCAATATGAATGCGAGTTTAAATTTATTTTCAAATATTTAAGAGGATAAAATTCCTCAATATATTTCATGTAGTTTCCTTAAGCTTCCTCATTTCTATAATTATTTATCCTTCAACACGAGGCGACTGGAAAGTATTAACAATGAAGTTGTATCAGCATCTCACAAGAATATTTAAGTTATATTTTAATTTCGTCTCTGATGTTCATTATGAACATATTCGTATATTTTTCGTAGTATTCCTTTAATGGTGTAGTTTTATATGACCATTTATTATAACCGGAAACCCTTGGTTCATGTGTGTGTGTGTGTGTGATGTGTTTCTTATTTGGGCACATCTAACGTAGCGTGGTAAGCCTCGTGACCCACTAGCTGACCGTCGACCAGCAGGCTTCATGTGGCGAACTAGCGGTTACTTTGAATTATATAAACTAAACACGCAACAGGCGTGGTGGCCTGGATGTTAAAGAAACGCCTCACATGCATGAGGGCGCGGGTTCGAAACCTGGCAAGTACCAATGTGATTGTTGCGAGTCATATGTACTTAGAGTATTTAGACACCACTGACTGATGAAGGAAAACATCGTTAGGAGACCTGGACTTGCATCAAATTATAAGTTTGAAATCACCAACCCGTCTTGAGCAAGCGTGGTGATTAATGCTCAAATTTTCTCCATGTGAGAAGAGGCTCAGCAGTGGGCTCTGATAGGCTGATGATGATGATTATTTCATAACATTCGATCTGTTTGTCACTTGTATTTAATATTTAAAAAAGTTATTTTTTAGTTTTTTTCATTCGTTAGTCTTTAAACATCGTAATATATTCACCAAGGTTAGTCGGATCATTAAAATAACTTTATCAGAATTAAAATATTAACCGTTTTAAAATGTGACTAATTTACGTATTGTAGATTTAAAAGTAATGAAATATTACATACCTATATTCATTTTTATTATATGTTTAACTAATAAAGTGTTTAATGTAATCCTCACACAATCTGTCTCGTTAAAAACATTTCATCTTAATTGTTTATGTTATAGCCACTTCAAGTCGCACCAAAAATCATTTCCCGATACTTAAACAGCCACTAAAATTATTTTATGTGTCAACTGGTCTGTACAAAGAATACATTATTAGCCCGCGACTCCGCTCACTACAATTTTTCATATAAAATTTTATTCTGAAAGATTGATGAACAAAATGGATGTCAATTTTTTTTTATTAATATATTGAGTTTTTAGAAATGTTTTTGAAATATGCCTGTTATTCGTCAATCGTCGAAAATTTCAAACGAATTCAAGTGGTTTATCAGAGTGCCGTATTTTTGCTTCCATTTTGTTGTATCGTTATGTCCTTTTTTCAAATGTCTATTTTAAACTAGCTTCCGCCCGCGGCTCGCCTCGCTTTGTTTTGTTTACAATGATCTGTAATACAAGTCTGTTTAATGATCGTTGAACTTTACGACCATTAAAACTGGCTCTCGTTACGAATTGTGATGCTCTGAAAATTTTCAAATTAAGTCATTATTCAAATATTATTAACTTTTGTATCAAGAAGGATAATTTAATAATGTACGTCTGTTCATCCCTACTATCCCTACTAATATTATAAATGCGAAAGTAACTCTGTCTGTCTGTCTGTCTGTCTGTCTGTCTGTCTGTCTGCTACGCTTTCACGCCTAAACCACTGAACTGATTTTAATGAAATTCGGTACAGAGATAGAGTTGACCTTGAGAAAGAACATAGTATAGTTTTTATCCCAGACTTTTGAAAGGTTCTCTTGGAAACGCGATATAACCGAACACGCGGGCGAAGCTACGGGCGGAAAGCTAGTTGCGTTTTATTCTTACAATAAATACACTTTCTATATTCCCACACTATCGTCATTGATTTCATGCAGCTTTTATTCGTTTTTTGTGTCTTTTTAATGTTTTTAATTTCGTCTTCATATTAATTAACAATTAATTACTCATCGCTATACTTCCTTGAGAAACATTATCATTATTCTCACTTCCCATTTTCTTTTTTGATTGTCCTTTTGTAATATACTAGTTTTTGTCATCGACGTCGTCCGCATTAATTTCGGCATAAATAATATATGTATAGCTGATCGGGCGAACTCTATTCCGTTTTTAATGCCATTAATAACCAGATATTGGAGTTTATTATATTTTTTTTGATCAAACAATTAAATATCCCATGTCCGTCTCCTTGTTCTAATCTATTTCTTCACCAATTTCCAACCATATCCGTACAGCCGTTCTTGAATTATGAATAGTGTAACTAACACGACTTTCTTTTATGTATAAAGATTTTAGAGTTTTATTTAATATCAATCTGCAATATTATGATATAGATTGTTCGTATACATTGGCTTCCATATATACATATTTTGTATAGTGACTTTATGAACAAATTATTTTATATTAAATTTGTTTACATATTTATAATGAACAGAATATTTAATTCTGTCTAAGTGTTGTGGAATGTATCCTGTATTATATTTAGATCTCCATTACTTGAGACTCAACGTCTACCAGACGTGACTCGTGAGGCGATCCCTTTATTAGACGAAACATCTTCGTTTAAATTTGTCTTTAATATAATACTTTTCAGTATATAAATTTAAGTCATTGGTGGCCTAGTGGTTATAAGGTCCGCCTCTCATGCATGAGAGCGTAGGTTCATTCTGGCAAGTACCAATGTGATTTTTCCGAGTCATATGTACTTTATAAGAGTATTTAGACATCACTGATTAATTCCCAAAGAGGTTTAATGTCAGACAGGCGGCCGGTCGTAAAAACAATTAGCCAAAACTAACCATAACATGTAAGGCAGACCCTGGTTAAAGATGGTATATTGCCAGGAAGGAGAAGACTTTTCAGTATATATTGATAAACATTATTAATTAAGGTTAATCTTTTTTTGTATTAAATTTGTCTCAGTTACTAAAGCTTCATGGAGTGATAAATGGATTGTCGAACATGAAGGAGGGTTGGGATGGTTTTTAATCAATTTTATTTCACTTTGTAGTGTTTTAAAAGTATTTTGTAATCGTTCAGATACAGCGGCGAGGATTTTAATTAAAATAACATTCAACCGATGTTACAACTGTTGTTTTATACTACCTACAGGGTATGTTATGTGTTGTGTGTCGTCTCGTGAGGATTCCTTTCAATCACTGTACAACTTCTTAATACCAAGTCTTCTAGAACTTTCCTCGTCTTTTTCTTCTTCTACCTGGCAATTTCCCAGCTTTAGCCGGGGTCTTACATGTTGTGAACAGTTTTGGCTAATTGTTTTTACGACCGGCCGCTTGCCTGACATGAATCCTCTTTGGGAATAAAAATCAGTGATGTCTAAATACTCTTATAAAGTACATATGACTCGGAAAAATCACATTGATACTTGTCAGGGCCAGGATCGAACCTGCGCCCTCGTACATGAGAGGCGGACCTTTTAACCACTAGGCCACCACTGACTGATCTTTCTGGAACTTTCTCATCTTTAATAATCATATTATAATATTCTCAGTATATAAAGTCCAATATCTTTGTTAGTGACGTCTTAATAAAGACAGGTACGGCTTTATTAAAGAAGGCTACTGATCTTATTATGAAGGAACGTTTTATATTAAAATATTTTAATATATAATACATATTGTTTAACTTTTTATGTTCTTTTATCCAAATTACCTTTAATCATAATTCATAACATAAGTAATCATCGTCACTACATACTCCACGTTACCAGTTTGTCATTCATAATCTTGTCACATAGTATTAACGTATTGAATGAAACGGGAGACGCTACGTATGTAGTGTCGATGTACACTTGTAGTAAACATATGCTGTAACTGTAAGTCAGTAGTAGTGACGTAACGTTTACACGAACAGTGTTAAGGTAACGATCGACACTCGTACTAAGGTTAGTGTGAAACTTAAATTAATAGCTAGAGTGAACAAAGAATCCAGAATTTCATCATCATCAGTCTATCAGAGCCCACTGCTGAGCTGCCTCTTCTCACATGGAGAAGAACTAGAATTTAATAATAATTAACTTCTTTATTAA